GACTGGGCTCCAGGGCTTGGCTGCACTCCGCATGTTTGTCCTCAGGGGCTCTCTATCTGTAGAGGATTAGAAAAGGAAAATGTGTCCACATATCTTGAACCTGCTTAGTGACATCATCAGGCTTTACCTCCCTCTTCCATGCTCACCATTGCTATCAAAGAATGAACACTTATTGTACCTCAGTTTACTTTCTCTTTTGCAGTATTGGCGATAGAGCTCAGGAGTTGGTGTGTGTTAGACAAATGCTCTATCACTCATCTACACTCCCAAAGAGAATGAACACTTATGATTTGGCTGAAAATAGAGTACTCTATCCCTAAGATGATACCTTTGTACCAATTTTACAGCTCTCAGACAGACTTTACCAAATTATTGAAATGTACAATATTATTGATATTCTGAAATTACTTTTGAGCAAAATAATAGCTCAGGGACACATAACAGTTTTATCACACACACACACACACACCTCACACTCATATAACTCAGGGCACCTTTAGGGTTGACAACAGGACAATCAACCTAGTTTTTAAATAGACATATAGAAATTACTTGAAAGTTTGATTTCACAGAAGTAGAAAATGACTCTTTTCTTCTTTTAGATACAAACAGGTATCATTCAAAAATTTAAAAAGCACATCTTAATTGATGAGACTCAACATTACATAGTAGAGTTAGTCTCCCAACTAAAATATGTTATGAAAGAAAAATTGTTCAAAGTAGTAGGATGCAACTAACGACCTCATACAGAGAAAGGGAGGGTGGCCTGGGTTTGCCATCAGTGACTATGGCTATTATTCCTGAGTGAGGAGTGGCCAGCCAGCCTTTTCCCTCTCTGAGCCTCTTTATTTTTTTGGTACTGGGGATCGAACTCAGGTCCTTGCCCTTGCACAGCAGGCGGTGAAACCACTGAGCTAAATCCCCAGCATCTGAGCCTCTTTTCTGTCAGCAACACAGCAGGACTGGATTAAATGTCTCATCCAGCTCCAACCCTACCTCTGCCTGTCCCCCTGGACTCTCATGGTCAAAGGTGTGACACAGGACACCCAAACTAGTCCATCTATTCAGGCGAGATTGGGCGCACTCAGGGTGGTATGGCTGTAGACCAGTCCATCTATTCAAAGAATACCAAAAATCCACTTTGAAAACATTCACAGGTGACCACTAATTTCATCAGCCACTCTCTCCAGGCACAGGGTCTAATTAACTCTCCTGGGGTGGTAGCTGGTGCTAAGCATCCTGGGACTCCTCTTCCTCATTGCATCACTACACATGCACCCAAGAGAAAGCCCCCAGGCAGCTCCCACAGCCTGGCTCAGGCTGCCACCACCTCGTCTTCCTGTCTCCTTTCCTGGCTGGAAGAAGCCATTTCAATTGAAATGATTTCAGCTCCTTCTCTAAGAGCTATCTAGTTCCTCTTCAAGTTTAAATAAAGGGATTAACAGGGGGCATATGTCCAAACGTCTACCTGGTACACTCTGTAGCCTGTGGTGGTGGCAGCTATGTGAATGTAGCTACTAATGAAAATATCCTTCTAAGGTCTTTACTATCTGGGGCTGGGGTTGTAGCTCAGTGGTAGAGCCCTCACCTAATGCTGTATGTGCAAGGCTCTGGGCTCCACCCCCACACACACACACAAATGAAACTGAATTCATTTTTTAAAAGAAGAGTTTGTAATTTGTTTTCCATAGTGTTTCTGAGAAAAACCGCATATGATTTCAGCTCAGTGATTCATTCAGAACCTTATTAGTCTCAGTTTGCTTCCAGGTATCATGACTTTTAAAAATTTGGGATTAAAAAGAGCTTATTCCTCATGTATTTTACTGATGTTTAGCACTGATTATTTTTCTTTCTCAAGCCATAATTTTTTATTGCTGGTTTCCACAGCAACAGTGAAAGAATGCCTAGATTAAGACCTGTGCAAGCAACTAATTTCTTTAGAACTCCTTCCCAGTACAAAATGAAGTAACACATTAAAGAGAATCTGTGATGAATTTTACCAATGACTACGGAGGCAAACAATAACATGTCACTTTAACTCAGAGATGATTTAAATAAAATACATGTTTATGTCATGATTAGGAATACTCAGAAATGACTATTGTAAGGGCTTACTTTATGAAAACATAAAGTGATGGCTGCAACAAGCTCATATTTCCCAAAACCTTCCCAGGTTATCCCTAAAGTAAAATACCTTTTATTACTCCCCTAACTCCATAAAGATAAAAATATGAAGATATAAAACAAGAAGAAAAAGATGGACATTTTCCTTGCCCATCTTTTTCTTGACATTTCAGGATTCAAAACCAGAAAAAAGGAAAGAAAGAAAAGAGAAGGAAGGAAGGAGGGAGAAAGAGACAGAGAGAGGTAGAGAGAGAGACAG